CATAGTATATCCTCGCAGGTGAGACATAATTCTTTGCCCCCCTCTAGTAATGAAATACGAGACTCTTAAGCAGGCTATTATTCAGCGAACCACGCTTTCTGACAAGGTCCGTCTGCAGCAACTATTTAGTGATCTGCATCTATGAGGTAGGATGCCTTCAGCCTTGTTGCGCGAAATGCAACAGCTCATCGGCACGTCCAACATGGACGTAGGGATTCTCCGCCAGCTGTGGATGCAACGCCTTCCTCAAAGCACACAGGCTATCCTTGCAGTAGCAAGTGACTTGCCCATCACAGCAATTGCAGTTCTAGCAGACCGCGTCATCGAACGGCACCAGCCAGAGACTGAAACCAAAGCACCTAAGCAGCTTTGCGCTGGCGCAACCACAACGACAGGCGCGACTAGCCCGCCGTCGGCAATAGACGCATTATCATTGCAGATAGCGTCGCTTCAGCGCCAGATCGAGGAACTCACTTTAAACCGTAAGCATCGCAACCGCTCCGGATCATCGCCCCGTCGCACAAAACCTGATGCCACAGGTTACTGCTTTTACCACTCGCGTTTCGGTACTAAAGCCCGTAAGTGCGTACAGCCGTGTAGCTACTCCGCTATAGATGATCCGCCACGCCGGCCTGTAATGGCCACGAACGTCAGCAAAGCTCAAAGTCGTCTCATCTACATTAGGGATTATGACTCCGATACCCAGTTCTTAGTTGATACCGGGGCGGAAGTCAGCGTCATTCCCCCTATGCCAGGTGAGCCTACCGCTTCTCTGTCGACAAGCCTCAGTGCCGCCAATGGCACGCCAATAGCCACCTATGGTCAGCGGTCACTTACCCTGGACCTAGGTCTTCGGCGCACGTTCCGCTGGGTATTCACTGTCGCTGCAGTCCCCTTTGCCATCATCGGCATTGACCTTCTCAGGCATTTCGACCTCTTGGTCGATGCGAAACGCCAGATGATAGTCGACACTGCAACAAAACTCAGCGTACGTGGCAGCACCGCCGATGTGACATCTATATCCCGGTCTATGCATTTCCCCAGACCTCGTCAGCCTACGCTAATCTCCTTTCTCAGTATCCCAAGCTCGTTCAGCCAATGAACGCAGCTTTGCCCGTGGCAGCTCAAGTCACGCACCACATACGGACGAATGGCCCACCTGTGTCATGCCGTCCACGCCGACTATCGCCTGAGAAACTAAAGGTAGCTAGGGCGGAGTTTGAGCACATGCTTGAACTTGGAATAATCCGCCCTTCCGATAGCCCTTGGTCCTCGCCCCTGCAGATGGTCCCCAAGAAATCTGGTGACTGGCGCCCTTGCGGTGATTACCGCGCACTCAATCGCCTAACCGTCCCAGATAGGTATCCCATCCCACACATGTAGGACCTTACCGCATGCCTCACAGGTAAGACGATCTTCAGCAAGATCGATCTGGTTCGCGCCTATCACCAGATACCTGTGGAAGACAATGACATTCCTAAAACAGCCGTCATTACTCCTTTCGGTTTGTTTGAATTTTTAAGAATGCCATTTGGACTGTGCAACGCCGCACAAACCTTCCAGCGCTTCATCCACGATGTTACTCGTGGCCTTGACTTCGCATATTCCTACCTCGATGATATCTTAGTAGCCAGTTCATCGGAACAAGAGCACCTCGAGCATCTTCGAGCTCTCTTCCAGCGCTTGACCCAACACAGTGTCACAGTCAACCCGACTAAGTGCGAACTCGGCAAATCAACGGTAGAATTCCTAGGCCACCTCGTTTCATCGTCTGGTATCGAAGTCCTTCCTGATAAGATCCAGGCAATCAAGGACTTCCCAGCTCCGACTTCGTTCAAGCACCTCCGTCGATTTTGTGGTTTGGTCAACTACTATCGACGCTTCATTCCGCGCTGCGCTCAGCTCATGCAGCCACTGACTGACTTACTCAGAGGAAATGAACGTAAGTTCGCTTTCCCTGACACAGCACAGGCAGCCTTCGCCGAGCTCAAGGATGCTATCTCCAACATAGCCCTCCTCGCTCATTCCGAATCGACTGCACCTCTTTCTATTACGACTGATGCCTCAGACGTCGCGGTAGGAGCCGTCCTCCAACAACACGTTGGTGGGCAATGGCAACCCCTTGGGTTCTTCTCCAAGCGCCTGCAGCCAGCGGAATCCCGCTACAGCACGTTTGGCAGAGAACTGCTGGCCATTTACCTAGCAATACGTCACTTCCGGCACACACTTGAAGGCCGCGCTTTCACGGTCTACACTGACCACAAGCCCCTTATATTTGCCTTCAACTCTGCTAGCGACAAATACTCACCACGGGAAACAAGACACCTAGACTTTGTCACGCAGTTCACTGCTGACATACGTCATGTCTCAGGTGTCGACAATCCCGTCGCCGACGCTCTCTCACGCGTCAACCTCACTCTGCAGTCTTTGCCTACCGTCGACCTTGCCGCAATGGCATCGGCTCAGGCTCAAGACGAAGATATACAGCGCACTCTGCAGTCCACTTCGCTGCATGTGCAACCTGTTCCTCTCCAAACCACGGAAGGAACCATTCTTTGTGACACTTCCACAGGTTGTCCTAGACCTCTCGTGCCCGTCTCCTTCAGACGCACAGTCTTTGACGCACTGCACTCACTATCACATCCCGGTATCCGTGCATCTTTGAAACTGGTCACCGAACGTTTCGTTTGGCCACGCGTAAACAAAGATGTTCGTACCTGGGCTCGCGCCTGCCTTCAATGCCAGCGCTCTAAAGTACATCGTCACACCCGCAGTCCTCTTGGTTCATTTCCTGCCCCGGACTCTCGGTTCTCGCATGTACACTTAGACCTGGTAGGTCCATTGCCTCCGTCACGCGGATTCGTATACATTCTTACATGTGTCGACCGCTTCACCAGATGGCCAGAAGCCATTCCGGTAACAGACTGCACAGCTGAGACTGTTATCCGGGCCTTCTTGGACCGGTGGGTCTCGCACTACGGATGCCCATCCACCATCACAACTGACCGAGGAACGCCTTTCGAATCTTCACAATTCGATACGTTCTGCAACTTTTTAGGCTGTCGCCGCATTCATACCACAGCGTATCACCCAGCAGCCAACGGGTTAGTTGAACGTTTCCATAGACAGCTTAAAGCCTCGCTCTGCGCCTCCTCCGACCCTAGCTGGAGCGAAAACATTTCGCTCGTACTCTTAGGCATTCGCAGCAGCATCAAAGCTGACTTGCAATGTGCACCAGCAGAGCTGGTTTACGGCACGACGCTCAAGTTACCAGGAGAATTCGTTTCACCTCCCGCATCGTCGGGTATGCCTCCGCCTAACTTTGCGTCCTCCCTAGCTCAACGCATGCGTTCACTACGCCCGACCCCGCCCCGTGAACAGACTAGAGATGTGCAAATGCACAGCGGACTCTCTACCTGCACTCACGTCTTCCTCCGCACCGACGCAGTGCGGCGCCCTCTCCAGCCTCCCTACACTGGCCCTTTCAGAGTTCTGCAACGGACTCCGAAACATTTTACTTTAGACCAGAATGGTCACCGAACAACGGTGTCCATCGACCGCCTCAAAGTGGCTTTCTTTGACGAGCCACTTGCAGCCCATCCTGATGCTCTCGCACAAGCACCCGCACCTGTGGTGACTTCCCGAGCACTGGATAACCCGGAACCCTCCGTACCCCTTGACCCGCAACCTATCCCGCCTCAACCCCAGGCAACCGACCGACGCGGTAGACAGGTCAAACGTCCGGTCCGTTTTTCCGATTTTGTAAGCGTTTGCTATTTCCATTAACACGCCTTTTTCGTCTTTAGTGGTTATCCTGCGTCTCATCCACAAACGTTTTGCAAAATCGACAAAAAACCCAAAACATTTTGAAAACCTAAAAGCGTATTTGCTTTTATCATGCATGCCATGTTCCCTCTCCGGCGTCAAGCCACTTCCCCGACCCTTGCCCACCCCCTCTGAGTTCTACCTTCCAGAAACTCAACCGCCGGAACTGCCCAGGCAACCCTCGAGTGACTCGCCAACCGGCTCAACGCAACCCTGGAGTGACTCGCCAGCCGTCCCAAAGCCCCCTTCCTCATCCAAGGAACAGACAGTCGCCCTCGACCGCAGACACCCACGAACGGATTGGTCCCAAAACGCCGCCCAGGCATTGCCGACGAAGACGCCGGATTTCTTCGTGGGGCGAGGACGCCCGCATACCTTCGTGGGACGAGGACGCCCGGATTTCTCCGTGGGACGAGGACGCCTGGATTTCTTCGTGGGACGAGGACCGTGGACTAAAGTGCGGTGGGGGGAGTGACACCTCCCAAGCGCACCGTCGGGTCTGCAGCAAAGGGAAGGTCCTGTCGGCCTTTTTTCTGGACTAGCCAGTTTTTTGCAGTCCGACCAGCCCGCCCCGACGGCCCACCGATGATGCACTCTGGTCCACACGATCGTCATAAATAAAACTAACAAAAGCCTGGACCCAGCGAAATCTGCTACACAACCCACTTTGGAAACTCTTACTCAAGCCTCTGCAAATATTCGCATCCCCCTCACCTTCCATTTCCCCCCACTAACAGCTCTATCGAAGGCTTCCATCCTTCAGCCTTCTAGGGGGAGGCCCTTGTAGTGCAACAGAAAACATGCTCTTTCAGTATCTTGTAACATTGGATTTTATGGTTGTTTTAACCTTCGAAACGTCCATTTGTTTTACTGACTGCACGTCCGTTGTCACAAACCGTTTTGGTGAGTACCTCGCTGCACGTTTCTCGCTCTGTCTGATTCGCTTCCTATTCTTGTAGCCTGTACAATATACGTTGGGTTCAGTCGCCTCCGACTTCTATACTGTCGTATTTGACACGTGTTACGTGTCATTGCTTACCGACTAGTATCCCAGGCTCCGCCCAACAAGAGGAGCAATTAGTGCTGTACAAAAGTGCGCTGTCGACTGCGAGAATGCCGAGAGCCAGTAAACTCTGACAAGATGCGTGAGTCAAGTAGCACACGAAGCTAGGTAAATAAGAAATAAATAAAGCGTATTCTTGACATTGCGAACACGCTTATTTCGGCATGATCATGAGTGAGACGCGCGGTGCTGGTTGAAGACCAAGAACACGAGAAAAGTGGCAGATTGTAAGTTGATAAAATTTATCTTTAAAAGCAGAGGCCTAGATCCAAGTGAGCTGACCGCCAATCTGAGTTGATAAAGCCATGAGAGTATAGAAGATAGAAAATGGAAGTCATGGGATCTGAAGGGGGGAACAGATGAAGAAGAGGAACAGAGAACAACGCGATAAATAGGGAAGTCAATCGGACGGATCCTCGCAACCTGAAGGGCGATGGTCATACGTCGTGCCAAAATAGCGGTCGCCAAAGTTTCCCATACCTGGAAGAATGTGGAACTGTTCGTTCAGAGCACCGTCCACAGCAGTGGTGACAATGTGTGCCTTTCGAAAGGAACAATGGAAAATCAAATAAATACGCACAAAGATTAGGAGAACTGGGAATCACTGATAAGACTTGAGGTGTAGGTAGCAGTCATCGGTGATTTCCTACCGGAAGCCGGAGTGAGTTTAATATTTACGATCGAGTTGCACCGCAGTTCAATAAAAAGAACCACACAGATGGAAGGGCAAGTAAGGCTACACATATACAGAGTGGTTAGTGTGTATATGGAAGGCTATGGTGCATTTGTAGCTGACGCAGCTGTCACAATGCAAAATCTGCATTACACCGAAGTGAACCCAGATGGACGAAAGGAAGCATGTGGGGGACGAGAGGCTAGTCAATATCAAACGTCAGACCATGAATGCGCGTAATAAATAAAGTACGAAAAACAGGAAGTAAGTTGCAACAAAAACAGCTAATTAAAGAGGTCAGGGTGGGTACTAACACGGGTGATCGTTATTCAACATTGAGGGAGGAATTTAGTCATTATGAGATGAGGATGACCGCTTGGATGACAAATCGAACATAATGCCATCATAAATGTAAGATGGTAGGAAATAAAACAACGGTAGCAGAGAGCAGGATGAGTAGAAAGTAGCAGTGACGAACACATATCCATCACTTACACAAAATATAGAACTTTCTTTCTAATTATTAAAATAGCAGCACACCTGCTTTCGATTAGTAAGCAGATTTCGCGTAATGCAAAACTCTGTTAATGAAACGAACAAGAAAACTAACGACGAAATCGCATTCGCATTATTCAATAAGTGGTTCTTTCAATGTGGTCAGCACCGATCCTGTATGCGTCATTGAAAAATGTGTTCCTGTGATTAATGGGTCTTTCATGCGTGGGGACATAGAAGATTTTGTTAAGTCAGTTCGAAACACGAAAGAGACACACAAAGCATGGCTACAACATAATGGTGAGATACGATGGAAGGCAGTCACGAACACCAATGAAAAACTATGGAACATTCGTTATAACTCCGAGTTCCTATTCTTCACTGGTGATATGACAAGTGATCAGAGGACCGGAAGAAAATGAAGAGCACCAGCGCGTCCTTAACACGATATCGAACTGCTCAGTTCAGAATACTCTACCATTCAACTGGGCGAGAAGCATAACTACATATAATGCGTACCACTACCCAGGAAGGCGACCTTATTGTGTTCATACAAAGTGGACGTAACTATTCAAAACAGACTGAAGCAGCTCCGAAATGAGGTAATCAGCATGTCAGCCTGCTGCGGAGGGCATTCGGGAGTTTCGAACTATCCATCTTTCCGATGATGCACAACTCTTACATGCGCTCTTAGGTTAAATACACTATACAAGCTTGATTGAAGCGCGAGCTAAAGACCCCATAACGCAGGGAAACAAACAACCTCATGGGTCTACGTAATCGCACTTGCCAGCAAAGGCTGTAGCTAATCGGAGATTTCATCGGACACTGTGGACGACTACGCAGAGATCTCATATTAGTGTATTAGATATCGAGTGACCCTAAGCACGTATACCGTAGTTTGATGACACTGAGGCACAACAGCAACCTCAGGTGTAACTGGGTGAACAATATAGCCGTCTAGAAAGCCGACGGAATTACTTTTCGCTTCGAGTTTGCCAACCAAGGTATTCTCTCCCAAACTCATTTGTCACCTCCTACACATTGGATATTTTCAAAAAACGATTGGTTGTTGCCCTTGGCTCCCATCATTTCGTTACATATGCTGTGCTACTTTGGAGTATATTAATGATGACTTCATACCATATTTGTGTCACATGGACATAAAGAGGCGGAACATGAGTGACCATACCAGTTTTTCCCCATGGAATATGTCAGCTATAACTTCGCCCATGTTTTCTTGTATGCTGGCATTCAAGTTCCATTTCGCCCCACCATTATTCAGTAGCGCATTTGTTTGAGAGAATTTTAAAGAGATGACTCACGTATCTTTTGATACTGTAGTTTTTACCCAGGTCATCCTATGGGACTTTTCAAGTATTTGCTTTTTTGCCCGTGATAAATCATAGTTCAAAACGTCTGCACGAGAAGCCGTAGTTCAAGGGGGCAAGCTTAATCTCTGCAGAGCCCGCAACTCCCACGACAGTGCGGGTAGGGGGGGGGGTGGTGGCACACTGTATGCAGTTACCTCGTAAGTCCTGTCACTACAGCCATTAACCAAGGCTACGGCACAAGCCGCTGGGGTCGGACAGGCGTGTTCGGTTTCTGCTAGCTATGCACGACGGACGAGTCACACATGGACAAAATTGCTGTCTAGTGTAGAGGCGGTCTAACCGGGATGAATACTGTGCAAATGCATTAGAAAACCCCATAATCATTAATAATTAGAGCGTCTGACGGAGAGGCGCATTGGTCAATATGAGCAAATTCAGGTTGCAGTAGACCGATAAACCTGCTTCTCATTATATGATTCCGGTTAAATTGATGTTGCCCTCTGTTAGCTCCAAATACCAACCAAAGTAAGAAGTTAACACCTGGACGTAAAGGCGTGTTGTAAAGCAGCTACCGCAGACGGGAACAAATAGGGTAAAATGAGCGGATATTTATTGAACATTTGAAAAGCACGGTAAGAAGACGAAAACTGATAGATGCATGCATTTCGTATTGTCTCCTCAGTACCATTAACAATAACCGGTATGCAACTATATACTTAAATATGCGTGCGACCGAATAAGCATGAGGTGAAAAGTGAATGACGGAAGTTCCACCCCTATGTCCACGGCAGTCTTAAGCTGAGAAATATTTGCTTTTGAACACACAGGGCCGGCTTATCGCAACGGCCTCGGCGAAACGGAGGAAGCGGGGATTAGGGTGACGTAACACAAGTGTGAACGCTGATCCGAGCTCTATCCGGTGACGCGTAGTCAGTAGGTGCTTACCTATTGAGGAAGCTGGCCGATTGCGCAAGCACGGAACTTCAGTGGGACAGGGATGCTGGTCAATTTCACGTTGAACCCACCTTGACACATGTTCCTTTATTCGGGAAGTCAAGACCGATTGGTTCTGCCTATGTAACTGTCTCCACAGTCACACACGAATTTGTATATGCAGTGTGAGTTGGCCCCTATCGGTTGAGCTTCCTTCGTTGGGGGCACCGGCAAGTTACAGGTTCTATTGATGACCACAACCTGAGCAGCACTTACAGGCCGGCACCTTCAGGCGCTGCGTGAACTGCGTACTAAGAACGTGGTTGTGATGAAACCGGATAAGGGCTCTGGAGTGGTGGTCATGAACAAGGCCGAGTACGCTCAGAAAATGAGTAGCATACTCAATGGCACGAGCAAATTTGAACGACTTAATAAGATGGAGAACGTATCCCACGTTGAAGCTAGCATAGCTGCCCATCTTGAAATGCTTCTCCTTCATCGCGTGATTGATAGTGACACCTATAATTATCTGAAGCCAAGTGGAAGCACTACTCCGCAGCTGTACCGGTCACCGAAGACGCACAAGATTGGAGTACCACTTAGGCCGATTCTATCAATGTTAAATGCGCCGCAGCATAAATTGGCTCGCTGGCTAGTGAAGATACTTTCGCCTCTGCGACAACTGTCAAATCCCTATAGTCTTAAAGATTCTTTTCAACTTATCGGTGACTTAGATGACCTCAACCTCAACATAGGCTGGCTTGCCGAACAACCTCCTCGTGGTGCCAGCTGGGTGGTTCGGGATTTTCCCGTTCCAGCAAATGGTTCGGCGGCAGTGTTCCAGGACGTGGTGGGTTTTCGCCTGGCAAGCGTTCTCCCTATAAAAAGCCACATATGTCCGTTTAACAACACTGCGACGTGGCGGATGTGACTCGCCACTAAATAAAGTCACTGCCCCTTGCCCCTCCCTGAGAGGCATTGTACTTTAAGGGTGAGTTGGGCCCCTGGTCCTTCACGGACAGAAAGGCGTATGAACCATCTACTTGGTCACCGGCTCCCAACGGGTTGCGACGCCCTCACATGGCCCTGCTGCCTTGTAGGTTAGATCTTTGATCAAAGGCTCGGGGTAGGGCCCCCTAAGACAACCCTCTACTTCGGCCTGGGCAACCGGGTAGTATCACGCCCACTGACGAATCATGGACTACACCGCTCACTACTACTACTGCTATGCCGCTCTTCTGTCTTAACTCAACCGCTCGACGTCCACTCACAGACCACCCCACCTCCCGTCCTTCACATACATGTACTCTTGTGTCTTCTACGGTCACCGTCACAAACGACCCACGTCTCGCAGCTGATGGAAGTAACAGCCAAACTCCCGGTTTTCAATGTCCTGCGATCGCAACCGCCTCTCACTCCACCGAAGCTCCAGCTCTTCTTCGACCTCCATTCATCCTCGCAGCGTTTAATGTTCGAACTTTGATGCAGATCGGACGACAAGCATGTCTGGCCCGTACTCTTGAAACGCTATCGGTAGACATCTGTTGTCTTTCAGAGACCAGATTACAAGACTCTAGCGCCGTCATCAGAATGGCCTCTCCGATAAACTCTGACGCCAAATACTATTTGCGGCTTTCCGGAGACCCAGAATCTGCCGCCACAGGTCAAGCTGGTGTTGGGGTTGTATTAAGTGCCAGGGCTGAATCAGCTCTGCTTGACTGGATCCCAGTCAACAGCCGACTATGTGCAGTCAGACTACGAGGTTCATGTAACGTAAGCAGGCGTCGAGATGTTAAGCGTGCCTTATTTGTCGTCTCCGCCTACGCCCCTACAGACTGCAGCCCGGATGCAGTTAAAGATAGCTTTTACCAACAACTACATGAACTTCTGCGTTCCTCCAAACGGACGGATATAGTCATTCTTGCCGGGGACTTTAACGCACGGGTTGGCCGCCTTCTACCAAGTGAGCACCACATTGGGGGTAGTTTTGGTCTCGGTGGCAGTCGATCAGACAATGGAGACAGACTACTTGCTCTTTGCTCTGATCATCGCTTATTTCTTTCGAGCACTAGTTTTCGACGCTCGAGGAGACAGACTGCTACCTGG